AAGTGAATCTTTGTGAAGATCAGAAGGGTAGCTGTGTTAGTCTGGATCCAATCTACATGGGAGGTCCACTTCCTAGACACAACGGTACGAATAAGTGACGGTCACATTAACACCACCCTATACCGAAAACCCATTGACCGCTATGCCTACCTTCATGCCTCCAGCTTCCATCCCGGACACACCACACGATTCATCGTCTACAGCCAAGCGCTGAGGTATAACTGCATTTGCTTCACCCCCTCAGACAGAGACCAACACCTACAAGATCTTCACCAAGCATTCTCAAAACTACAATACCCGCACGAGGAAATAAGGAAACAAATCAACAGAGCCAGACGTGTACCCAGAAGCCTCCTGCTGCAAGACAAGCCCAAGAAAGAAACCAGCAGAACCCCGCTGACCATCACCTACAGTCCTCAGCTAAAACCTCTCCAACGCATCATCAGTGATCTACAACCCATCCTGGACAACGACCCCTCGCTTTCACAGGCCTTGGGAGGCAGGCCAGTCCTCGCCCACAGACAACCCGCCAACCTTAAGCATATTCTCACCAACAACCACACACCGCACCATAGTAACTCTAACTCAGGAACCAATCCATGCAACAAACCTCGATGCTAACTCTGCCCACATATTTACACCAGCAACACCATCACAGACCTAACCAGATCAGCCACAACATCACTGGTTCATTCACCTGCACGTCCACCAATGTAATATACGCCATCGAGTGCCAGCAATGCCCCTCTGCTATGTACATCGGCCAAACTGGACAATCCCTACTTAAAAGGATTAATGGACACAAGTCAGATATTAGGAATGGCAATATACAAAAATCTGTAGGAGAACACTTCAACCTCCCTGGACACACAATAGCAGATTTAAAGGTAGCCATCCTGCAGCAAACAAACTTCAGGACCAGACTCCAAAGAGAAACTGTTGAACTTGAGTTAATTTGCAAATTTGACACCATCCGCTCAGGATTAAACAAAGACTGTGAATGGCTAGCCAACTACAAAAGCAGTTTCTTCTCCCTTGGTTTTCACACCTCGACTGCTAGAAGAAGGCCTCATCCTCCCTGACTGAACTGACCTCGTTATCTCCAGACTGATTCTGGCCTGCATATTTATACTTGCCTCTGGAAATTTCCACCACATGCACCTGATGAAGTGGGTATTCACCCACAAAAGCTTATGCTCCAATATGTCTGCTAGTCTATAAGGTGCCACAGGACTCTTTGTTGCTTTGTGAAGGTGTATGTTAAAGCTTTGGACCTGTAATGCAGCTCACAGGTGGGGAGACTTTGACAGAGGGACCACCAGGAAAACCAGTTCTTCTTCACGTGCTTGCTTATGTCAGTTCCATTGTATGTGTGCACGCGCCCATGTGCGCGGTTGTCGGAGACTTTTTCCTTAGTGGTATCCATAGGGCCGGCTGTGGAGTATTGCGCTCATGCTGCAGTATATCATGCACCTCCGGCCCTATGCCCTCTCAGTTCCTTCTTACTACCTGTGGTGGTCAGTCAGAGCGCCTCTGTCCCTTGCTTTGCAAGTGGTCAGCAGTTCTCTCCTATCTCAGCCTTGTGCTTCTAGCTGTAAATAGTTTAATCGTTAGTTAGCTGTTAAGTGTCTAGTTAGATAGGGTCCTGGTGGGGACTTTGCCCCAGGCGGGGTATGCTCCAGTTTCCAGATTTCAAGCCTTGCTCCACGTGTAACAGGCCTATGCCTGTTAGTGACCCGCAAGATAGTTGTCTAAGCTGCCTCAGGGAATCCCACATAAAGGAGCGCTGTCGCATCTGTAAGAACTTTCGTCCTTGGACACAGAGAGAGCACAACATAAGTTTCAGGGTCCTCCTGATGCAGGCTGCCCTGCGCCCAGCTTTGGAGCCGTCACGGCCCGACACGGCACAGTGCCTCAGCTTCGGTGCACCCCTGGCAACAGGCTCTTCCCGGCACCGATCCCCGGTGCCGAAGAAGAAAACAAAGAGGTCGGCACCAAGCAAGCCCGACCAGGGGGCTCTGGGCAAAAGACCCTGTTTGGGCCTTACGCCCACTCCAGACCCACAAAAGGGCTTAGCCCCAGGGAGTTCCTCCCCCCGAAAGCACCCACCACCAACTCCAGGGAACGGTGGAGGGCCCAAGCCAACGGTGCAGTCAAGGTACACCTGGCAGCCATTTCGGCATTCCACCCTCTGTTTCAAGGCAGGTCGGTCTTCGCCCATCCTATGACGGCGCAGTTCTTGAAAGGTCTGGAGCACCTCTACCCGCATATCCGGGACCCGGTTTCCCCACCCTTGAATCTTGTGCTGTCAAGACTCATGGGACCCCCCCTTTGATCCCTTGGCTTCCTGCTCCCTCCTGTTTCTATCATGGAAGGTCTCCTTCTTAGTTGCTATAACTTCAGCCTGTAGGGTATCCGAGATGAGGGCGCTCACGTCGGAACCGCCTTATATGATCATCTATAAGGACGAGGTCCAGCTGCATCTACTGCGTCAATTAAATGTTTCCCAGTTCCATACTGGCCAATACATATTCTTACTGATCCTTTGTCCAAAGTCTCATGTAACGGATGGGGAACGCAAGCTGCATACCCTGGACATCAAATGGGCACTGGCCTTCTACATAGATAGAACAAAGCCGTTCCGTAAGTCTACGCAGGGGTTTGTTGCTGTTGCAGACAGGATGAAGGGTCGCCCAGTGTCTGCCCAGAGAATTTTGTCTTGGATCACGGCCTGCATCCGTTACTGTTATGAGCTGGCAAAGGTGTCCCTGCCCACGATCGTGACGGCTCACTCGACTAGGGCGCAGCCGTCATCGGCAGTCTTCCTTGCTCAAGTGCTGATCGAGGAAATTTTGTTGGGCTGCAACCTGGTCACAGACTCATAGACTTTAAGGTCAGAAGGGACCATTATGATCTTCTAGTCTGACCTCCTGCACAACGCAGACCACAGAATCTCACCCACCCACTCCTGTAATAAACCCCTAACCTATGTCTGAGATATTGAAGTCCTCAAATCATGGTTTGAAGACTTCAATTCTCCAGCAAATGACCCATGCTCCACGCTGCAGAGGAAGGCGAAAAAACCCCAGGGCCTCTGCCAATCTGCCCTGGAGGAAAATTCCTTCCCAACCCCAAATATGGCAATCAGCTAAACTCTGAGCATGTGAGCAAGAGTCACCAGCCAGATACCCAGGAAAGAATTCTCTGTAGTAACCCAGATCCCACATCATCTAATATCCCATCACAGACCATTGGGCATATTTACTGCTAATAGTCAAAGATCAATTAATTGGCAAAATTAGGCTATCCCATCATACCATCCCCTCCGTAAACTTATCAAGCTTAGTCTTGAAACCAGATATGTCTTTTGCCCCCATTGCTCCCCTTGGAAGGCTGTTCCAGAACTTCACTCCTCTCTGATGGTTAGAAACCTTCATCTAATTTCAAGTCTAAACTTCCTGATGGCGAGTTTATATCCATTTGTTCTTTTGTCCACATTAGTACTGAGCTTAAATAATTCCTCTCCCTCCCTGGTATTCATCCCTCTGATATATTTATAGAGAGCAATCATATCTCCCCTCAGCCTTCTTTTGGTTAGGCTAAACAAGCCAAGCTCCTTGAGTCTCCTTTCATAAGACAGTTTTTCCATTCCTCGGATCATCCTAGTAGCCCTTCTCTGTACTGGTCCAGTTTGAATTCATCCTTCTTAAACATGGGAGACCAGAACTGCACACAGTATTCCAGATGAGGTCTCACCAGTGCCTTGTATAACGGTACTAACACCTCCTTATCTCTGCTGGAAATACCTCGCCTGATGCATCCAAAGACCGCATTAACTTTTTTCACAGCCATATCACATTGGCGGCTCTAAGTCATCCTGTGATCAACCAGTACTCCGAGGTCCTTCTTCTCCTCTGTTATTTCCAAGTAATGAGTCCCCAGATTATAACAAAAATTCTTGTTATTAATCCCTAAATGCATGACCTTACACTTTTCACTATTAAATTTCATCCTATTACAATTACTCCAGTTTACAAGGTCATCCAGATCTTCCTGTATGATATCCCGGTACTTCTCTGTATTGGCAATACCTCCCAGCTTTGTCTCATCTGCAAACTTTATTAGCACACTCCCACTTTTTGTGCCAAGGTCAGCAATAAAAAGATTGGTCTGAAAACTGATCCCTGAGGAACTCCACTAGTAACCTCCCTCCAGCCTGACAGTTCACCTTTCAGTATGACCCGTTGTAGTCTCCCCTTTAACCAGTTCCTTATCCACTTTTCAATTTTCATATTGATCCCCGTCTTTTCCAATGTGTCGTCCGTCCACACATTAGCTTCGCACTATGCGCTGACCCAACGGGCTCAAGACGACGCTGATTTCGGCAGAGCAGTGCTCCACTCTGCAAGACTGAATTCCGAGTCCACCTTGGAGGATTCTGCTTGAGAGTCACCTACAATGGAATCGACATGAGCAAACACTCAAAGAAGAAAAAATGTTTACCCACCTTTTCATAACTATTGTTCTTTGAGATGTGTTGCTCATGTTCATTCCTCCTGCCCCTCTGTTGGAGTTGTCAGCAAGAAGGAACTGAGAGGGCATAGGGCCGGCAGCGCCTGATATACCGTGGTGTGAGCGCAGCACCCCAGAGGGTACCACAGCTGGCCCTATAGATACCGCTAAGGCAAAAGTCTCTGACAGCTGCACAAGTGGGTGCACACACACCTACAATGGAATGGACATGAGCAACACATCTTGAAGAACAACAGTTACAGAAAGGTGGATAGCTGTTCTCTCTCCCCCTCTCTCCCCCTCCCCTCGGTCTATTGTATAGCTGTTCCTGGATAGGATAGTATCAAGAAATTGCTGTGATGCACTTATTAATTGGTGGTGGTTGTTGGGATAAAACAGAAGTGGACTTGATGTGCAAGCTTAATTGACAGAAAAACGTCCCTGTCAGAAAGTTAACATTTAAAGTTGCTGTTCTCTCCCCTCCCCAGGGTACTGTCAAACAGCTGCTGGTGTTCTCTGAAGCAGAGGGGAATCCCTGCCTGTTGGATGTCTGTGGGAATTTCCTGGCTGTGGGAACGGACTTGGTTCACTTTAAAATCTTTGATCTCTCTCGCAGGTATTATTAAGCATTTACAAGGGTCTGAATCTATAGCTCAGGTTTCTTTCTTTTTTTATTTTTTTTTAATCTTAAGGGAATTTTGTACTGGTGAAAAATGCTAGACTGACAACCCTGGAGACTGAATTCATAGAATAGGTATGTCAAAGGCAGTGGGAGTGCAGGCTTTCTCATGGCGTATGCCCTGTAGAGGTTATCTTGGCCTATTCAGTCCTTGGCGTCTTTAAAAAAAAAAAAAAAAAAAAAAAAGGGATATATATTTTTTACTTTATAGACTCCTGCCAAATTTTGCTGCTCTACCTTCAGTGTTTTCAGAGAGAAGCTGAAGTTAGAAGACCCAGCCTTACCTAGTGAAGTGTATTGCCAGGTCAATAGTATCTGATAAACTGATGTTGTTTTATACACTCACAAATCACTCTTGTGAGAAGTTGACCCTTTTGTATTCTCAAGTTCTTCTTCGAGTGCTTGTTCACGTCAATTCCAATCAGGTGTGAGCGCTCTACATGCACGACAGCTGGAAGATTTTTCCCCTAGCAGTATCCGCAGGGTCGGTCTGGATGCCCCCCGGAGTCGCGCCTTCATGGCGCCCAGTATAGATCCCTGCTGACCCGACCCCCCCCAGTTACTTCTTACCACCTGTGACGGCTAGCTGAAACTCCATTGCTCTTTCCTCAGCAAGCGTGTGCTTCACAGCATCACCCTTTATGTATATATAGTTAGATTTAGTAGTAGAGTAGTTACACTTAGTGTAGATAGTTTTTCTCATAAGTTTCCTTTGGGGTTCCCCCCCACCCTTGATGCTTTTCCCTGGCACTGGGGTATGCCTCAGTCCCCGGGCTTTAAGCTGTGCTTGGACTGCGGCAGGTTTATGCCGAGAAGTGACCCGTACACTTCGTGCTTGAATTGTCTCGGTGAGGGTCACCTTAGGGAGCATTGTAATATCTGTAGAGGGTTTTGCCCCAGGACTCTTAAAGACAGAGAACAGCGCCTCCCAGTTTTGCTTATGGAGGCAGCACGTGGGCCTCAGTTGGAGCCCAGTGCGGCAGACCCAGCCCCAAGTGCCGCTTCCTTAGTGCGCAGTGCTCCAGCACCGTCAATGTGCAAGCCAGTGCCGAGGAAGGACTCCTCTAGAGACCCTCAGCACCGCCACGGCTCCGCGCACAGGTCCCAGACACCTGTGAGGCCCCACTCCCCGGTGCCCCACAAAAAGAAGGCCAATAGAGGGCATTCCCCGACCAGGTCTAAAGACCAGGTGGCCAGCAAGTCCCCGTCAGGCACCCAATCGGTGGGCCTTCCGCTGACTCCTGCCCCAGGAAGGGGTCCAGTCGAGTCCGGACCCACACTGCTTGCCGGCACCGATTCCTGGCCCAATAAGTTCTGTGGGCAAGCCGGCGACGATGGTGGTGATAAGGGTATCATCCCCAGCGTATCAACTCCTGGCACCGGTGGCCCGCTCCGGTTCCCGAGTTGGCATCTCTCGCCAGCACCAAGGGGCTCCGCTCCTCCGTGGTCATCAGTTGGAAACCTCAGTCGGAAGCGGAGTCATCGCATTCCAGTAGGAGCAGAAGATCTCACTCCTGTTGCAACAGACAGCCCTACCCAGCACTGTGGCCAGGCCAGTGGCAGGCTCTTCAGTGGCCCTTCTGGACACCCTGGGCCTATCACCAAAGCCAGGAGCAGAGCCAGGGTTCCAGATGGGCATCGGTGGCCTCTGCTGCACACGCCTTCCGCACCGGGCATCCTGGCAGGGACCCATCCAGCAGCCATACCAACATCAATGATCTCGGCACTGATTGCGGCGTTGACGAAGGGGGCACCAGTTGCTTCACATCCTTGGCACTGAGCGTGGCTCCAATCCCGGCACTGTCCGTAGCACCGACAGCAGCACTGGTGATCCTTGCCCCGCGGGACCCCAATGGGGCCGAGGGCAGGGAGCAGGCTCCAGTACCGGTTGCCACCTCATCCTCCTCGTTTCCAGATGAAACGATGACTGGCTCATCAACCTCTCCAGCCTTAGAGGACAGCAGGGTCCTACAGCAGCTGCTAAGACAGGTGGTCCAGAACCTAAACATCAAACCGGAGGAGGTGGTGGAGGAGGCCGACCCGATGGCCTTTCCCCTCCAGGGCCATCCCGTATCGCGTGGCTGCTGATTGCAACCATCAGCGATGCCACTAAGACCCAGTGGCAGACCCCATCCTCGTTGCCGCCTACCGTGAAAAGGTATGAGCGGAGATATTTAGTCTCCTCCAAGTGGTATGAACACTTATATATGCACCCCCTGCTGGACTCCCTGATAGGGAATGCGGCCAACCAATGCGAGCACCAGGGCTACCAGGGGCCCTCTCCAAAGAATCGAGAGGCCAAAAACTGGACCTCTTCTGGAGGAAAATCTATTCAAGGGGGGGGGGGGGTATTTGCAGCTCCGTATCGCTAGCCGTCAGGCGGTGGTTAGAAGGTACAATTACAATACTTGTGGGACCATGGAAGAATTTGCAGAACTCTTGCCTATGGACTCTCGCACAGAGTTTTCTGCACTAGTAGAGGAGGGCAAATGGATCTCTTGTGCATCCCTGTAGGCAGTCTTAGACGCTGTGGACACAGCGTCTCACACCATGGCTACCGGGGTAGCGTACCTACCGGGGTGGCTATGAGAAGGAGTTTCTGGCTTCAGGTCTCTAGCCTTCCGTACGAGGTACAGCAGACAGTCCAGGACCTCCCCTTTGAGGGTCAGTCGTTCTCTGAGAAGACTGACTCTCGCCTGCAGAGTCTCAAGGACTCTTGAGCCACCCTGAAATCCCTGGGCCTCCACACCCCTGCCAACCAACGGAGGCACTTTCGACCTCAGCCCCCACTGAGGAATTATCAACCTTAGGGTAGGCAGGAGGGGTCGCGCAGGAAGAGTAGGAACTCGAGGAAGAGACCTCATTCCTCCTCTGGGCAGGGGTCTGGCCAGTCTAAACCCTCCTGAGGCCAAAAACAGGCCTTTTGAAGGTGCGCCCTGCGGCGATGCACCAGTGCAAAGACTGGATCCATCCCGCCTTACCTTTTCGTCCCGTCTATCCCCTTTCTACCCTGCGTGGGCCCGTATTACATTGGACCGTTGGGTGCTCCACGTGGTAGAGAGGGGATATTCACTTAAATCTTCTTCCCTCCCTCACTTCCACCACCCTTCCCCATCCCTCTTCAGGGACCCTTCTCATGAGCAGCTCCTTATACAGGAGGTGCTCTCGCTGCTCTTGCTGGGGGCAGTGGAAGAGGTTCCTCAGGAGCAGAAGGGCAAGGGCTTCTATTCCCAGTATTTCCTGATACAGAAAGCCAAGGGCAGGCTCAGGCCCATCCTAGACCTGCAAGAGCTCAACAAGTTTATGAAAAAACTCAAATTCCGCATGGTCTCCTTAGCCTCCATCATCTCTTCCTTGGGTCCAGGAGACTGGTATGCTGCCCTTGACTTGAAAGACGTGTACTTTCATATAGCAATCACACCGTCCCACACAAAATACCTCAGGTGGCTGCGTTCCTCCGCAGGCGGCAGGTATAGGTGTTTCTGCACCTCAACAACTGACTGATCAAGGGCCGCTCCAGGATTCAAGTGGAGGCACAAGTCGACTTCATAAGAATGATGTTTGACGAACTGAGCCTTCTGAATGTGGGGAAATCAACACTGTCCCCGGTTCAGCGGATAGAATTTATAGAGATGGTACTGGACTCAACTCAGGCCAGGACGTACCTATGGGAATCGAGGTTCCAGACCCTGGGCGACATTATTTGGAGTCTCCGGCAGTTTCCCACCACCACAGCAAGGAATTGTCTGAAACTCCTGGGACACATGGCCGCTTGTATCTATGTGGTGCAACATGCAAGGCTCAGATTCCACGACTGGAGCAACTGGCTAGCCTCGGTGTATTGACCAGTTCGGGACAGTTTGACAGGTTGTGACTCTGTGTCATGTGGTCCTCGACTCCCTTCTGTAGTGGCTTGACCCACAGGTGGTGTGTGCAGGGGTCCTCTTCACCAGCCCCCAGCTAATTCTCTCATTGGTTACGGATACATCAGACTTGGGCTGGGGAGCACATCTGGGAGACCTCAGGACACAAGGCCTCTGGTCTCAGGCAGAGCTCGCTCTCCACATCAATGTCAGAGAGCTGAGAGCAGTACTCCTGGCATGCCACCCTTTCCAAGCCCATTTAAGGGGGGAGATGTGTATCAGTGATGACAGACAACACCACGGTGATGTTTTATATCAACAAACATGGGGGGGCATGCTCCTTTCTCCTGTGCCAGGAAGCCCTCATGCTATGGGACTTCTGTGTAGAGCATTCGATACACCTGCAAGCATCGTACCTCCCTGGGGTACAGAACGAGTTAGCGGATTATCTCAGCACGTTGTTACATGGCCACGAGTGGTCCCTGGGCCTGGACATCATGAACTCCATTTTCCAGCAGTGGGGCTTTCCCCGGGTAGACCTCTTTGCCATGCGACATAACAGTTGAGCAGGGGGTTGGACTAGATGATCTCCTGAGGTCTCTTCCAACCCTAATCTTCTATGATTCCTGAATCACAGCCCAGGCTCCATAACAGATGTGTTCCTCCTTCCCTGGAGAGGCCATCTCCTATACGCGTTCCCACCCGTCCCTCTCATTTATGAGGTGCTCTCAAGATATGGAGGGATCAAGCAGTTGTGATATTGAAAGCTCCAGCCTGGCTCCGCCAGCACTGGTACACATTGCTCCTGGACATGTCCGTGGAAGCCCCAGTCACCTTGCTGCTCTTCACGGACTTGATAATTCAGGATCATGGCCATCTCCAGCGCCTGAACCTCGAGTAGTTGAACCTCACAGCGTGGAAGCTCCATGGCTGAACCCAATGGAGCTCTCCTGCTCAGACCCAGTTAGACAAGTCCTCCTTGGCAATAGGAAACCCTCCACCAGAGCTACCTACCTTGCCAAGTAGAAGAAATTTTCAATCTGGTTGGCGCAGCATCATTTGTCCCTGACGATCACCTCTATGCCACTCATACTGGACAACCTTCTCCATCTCAAGCAGCAGGGTCTGTCCATGTCGTCAATACGGGTTCACTTGGCCACCATTTCTGCCTTCCATCCAGGTGCAGAGGGCCGGTCAGTCTTTGCCAACCCTATGGTCAGCCGTTTCCTCAAAGCTCTCCACAGGCTATATCCGCAAGTCCGACAGCTGGTCCTGGCCTGGGACCTCAACCTGGTCCTTTCTATTCTGACAGGGCCGCCCTTTGAACCGCTAACAACGTGCTCCCTGCTCTACCTCCCGTACAAGGTGGCGTTTCTGGTAGCAATAACCTCAGCCAGGAGGGTGTCTGACCTCAAGAGCCTAACATCAGAGCCTCCTTACATGGTGTTCTTTAAGGACAAGGTTCAGCTCCGGCCTCACCCAGCTTTCCTCCCAAAAGTTGTCTAGCAATTTCACGTCAACCAGGACATCTTCCTCCCAGTGTTCTATCCTAAGCCTCAGTCAAATGGCAGGGAGCAGAGGCTTCATTCGTTGGATGTCCGCAGAGCATTAGCCTTTTACATCGAGAGAACAAAGCCATTCTGAAAGTCCATTCAACTATTCCAAAAATCCATTCTGTGGCAGACAGAATAAAGGGTCTTCCAGTCTCCTCTCAACTAATTTAATCGTGGATCACATCCTGCATCCGAGAGTGCTATAACCTGGCATGGGTGCCTGCCCCTCTGCTCACTGCGCACTCCACCAGGGCTCAGGCTTCTTCAGCTACATTCCTGGCGCAGGTTCCCCCCCATGAAATATGCAGAGCGACGACGTGGTCCTCCATACATACTTTCACTGCACATTATGCGATTACCCAGCAGGCCAGAGATGATGCGGCCTTTGGTAGAGCGGTACTCCAATCAGTGGACATCTCCGACCCTGCCTCCTGAACTTAGGCTTGGGAGTCACCTGATTGGAATTGACATGAACAAGCACTCGAAGAAAAAAGTTACTCACCTTCTCATAACTGTTGTTCTTCGAGATGTGTTGTTCATGTCCATTCCAATACCCACCCTCCTACCCTGCTGTCGGAGTAGCTGGCAAGAAGGAACTGAGGGGGGGGTCGGGTCAGCAGGGCCCTATATTGAGCATCATGAAGGCACGACTCCAGGAGGTGCCCAGACTGACCCTATGGATACTGCTAGGGGAAAAGTCTTCCAGCATTCGTGCACGCAGCGCGTGCACACCTGATTTGGAATGGACATGAACAACATATCTCGAAGAACAATAGTTACGAGAAGGTGAGTAACCGATTTTTCTAGGTCTGAGATTTGGGGTCAAGGGTAATGGCTTCAGTGATGTCACTACTGCTTCTCCATGAGTTTGAATTCTCAGTGAGGACTTGGACTCATAATTCCAGAGAGCAAGAAATTCATGCACTGTTGTAAGCAACACATACAGTGTATTCAGGGCTTCCGGATCTTCAGTGTTTGTTTCCATTATTACTCCAATAATCAATGAGTATTTCTTTGGGGATAAATACAGTGTTTTTACTGGAATGGAGTTTGCATGGCTTATCTCTCTTTTTTTTTCTTCTTCCCCTAGAGGGAAGGGAAACTTGAAATAATTACCTTTTTCCCCACAATGATTTCCATCCGGGGTGACACTGAGTAACAGCATCATGATTTGTCACTGTCATTCACTAGCCAAAGCCTTCTGTGGTAAGGCTGATGGTGGCTCAGTGAGTAGCTTGATACTCTCCCATGTAGGAAACCTGGCTTTAGGAACAGAACAGGGCGTTTCACAGATATCTCTGAGAACATAAGCAATATTTTTGGGCAGTGCGGGAGGAGTCCACAAAAACTTTCTCATGGTGCTGACTTCAGTCTATAAAGCACTTTGTGGATTGGGTCTTGGATACTTAAGACTATCTCTTTCCCTTTGTACTTAGTACACCTCTACCCCTATATAACGCTGTCCTCGGGAGCCAAAAAATCTTACCGCTTTATAGGTGAAACTGCGTTATATTGAACTTGCTTTGATCCGCCGGAGCGCGCAGCCCCGCCCCGCTGGAGCACTGCTTTACCGCGTTATATCCGAATTCGTGTTATATCAGGTCGCGTTATATCGGGATAGAGGTGTAGTTGAGAACAATTTGGATATTTCTACTGCCAACCTGTAAGTACAAACATAAGAGGAGTAGAGGGTCCTCAACTTTGGAATTAACTTCCTCTATTGAATCAAAAGAGCCGAAGTTTGTTGACCTACAGGGCAGGGCATAAGCCCCCCCCCCCCCCCCCCCCCCCTTTTGGAACTTTTCCTGAGGTGAAGGGCTTGATTAAGTTCTGAAATGAGTGAGAGTTTAATTAATATTAGTCATACTGTTATGTTGAAGTGGTGCTTCTACTCTGACAAGTGACTGTGTCAAACTTGTACATTTTGACTCCACACTTCTGCTCCTTGTGTGTGTTCAGAACCTTATCTGTTGACAGTTAGTGACAAAATAAATTTGAGAACCCTGCAGAACCAAGAGGGTAAGCTGAATTCTGTTCTTTCTTATGTATCTTATGTATCATCAGCAGAACAATTTGCAAAACTCCAGTCAGTCAAACCTGTGAAAACCCATTAGCAGCACTGGCATTGCACAGGTATCACATAGGGCCTAATTTGAAAACCTTGGGTTTGTGCAGGGTATCACTATGACTTGCAGGGCCTTTATTATTGGTGTTGATGTTGGAGATTGAAAAGAACCTAGCTTAACTCTCAGATGTCAGGCTGAATTTTTAGGGCTGTAAAAAAACTCGTTTACTTGTAAAGTGAGTATATTTGATCTGGAATTAACAAGAGACAATAAATAGAACCCTGGAATGTTATTTTTACATATGAATTCAGAGGCCATGCCTTGTTTCCATTTTATAAATCTAATAATAAATACTGTCACTCTTGTTAGCTGTATCCCAGTGACTGATAGGAGTTGTCCTCTCAGGCACAGAGTGAATGCTGTTACTGTGGCATCTACAGTAGGAAGGATTGATTGGATATAGGGAGAAAGGAGGACAAAACTAGGATCCTTTTAGTTCATGCCTGCGTTATCCACACAGGGCTCTTACAGCACAGCAGCACTTTGATGCACACTTCTGTTCATATGCCTGGAGTCCAAACTGCAAGGCAATGTAGATGAGCCCTTACAACTTTTCTATGTGGAGAATCTGACTAGCATAGCTAAAGTGGAATAACTATTCCACTGTAGTTATGCCAATATAACTTTCTCATGGGGACGCGATAGTTATTCCACTTCAGCTATGCCAGTCAATTTCCCGGTGTAGACAAATCCTACTTCTCCTGAAACAGGATGGCAGGATTTTCTTGTTGCAGGTGTTGGAACACTGCAGAACATTTTAAGTTTACTCCTGCTGCGTTTAAGACTCTAAAGAGGAAGCTAGAGTCTGGGACAAAAAGTTAGAAGACCTCAAATATTTGGGTCTTGTGCCCTATTTGATTTGATTATTAAAGGTCTTTTTTCTGAAGTTTGAAAAATATTTTTAACTGTTTTTCAAGCACTGACACTTGGCACCACATGAATCACTATTATCTGTTCCCACAGAGAGGCGAAAGTGCACTGCAGTAGTAAGAACTTGACTGAGCTCTTTCCTGGCCTGGGGGGCATTGCATCGGTTAAGTGCAATGCTAATGGCAACAAAGTCAGCATCCTCGTCAACAAGGTGAGACAGGACTCCCCACATACCACACTGGGGTCTGAATGTGACACCAAATGCCAGACTAGCTATAATGCAGAGATATTCATATGGAGATATACCTAGCTCATAGAACTGGAAGGGACCCTGAAAGGTCATCAAGTCCAGCCCCCTGCCTTCACTAGCAGGACCAAGTACTGATTTTTGTCCCAGATCTCTAAATGGCCCTCTCAAGGATTGAACTCATAACCCTGGGTATAGCAGGCCAATGTTCAAACCACTGAGCTATCCCTCCCGCCTTAACTTCTCTAATATAAACCCACATTGGCTCTGTCTTCAGGACTCAGAATTTCTCGGGTAAGCATTGATAGAAGCACTAAAAGTTTTTGTAGGTCCAAGGGCTCTAGTGTCCCATCGCTGGCCATTGGAGATATTTGCTATAGAAGTTGCGGATTGGCCATATGCCATTATAGGAAATCTCATCATATCATCCCTTTCATAAATATATCAAACTCATCCTTAAAATGGGTGCCTGCACTACTCCCCTTGGAAGGCTTTTCCAGAACTTCATTCCTCTGATGTTGAGAAACCTTTATCTAATTTCAAGCCTAAACTTATTGATGGCCAGTTTATATCCATTTGTTCTTGTGCCAACATTGGCTCTTAACTTAAATCACTCCCTCTTCTCTCTCTCTCTCTCCCCCTGATATTTATCCCTTTGATATATTTATAGAGAGCAATCTTATCTGTCTTCATCCTTCGTTTTGTTAAGGAGCTTGGTTTGTTTAGCCTAAGTCTCCTTTTGTAAGGTAGGTTCTCTATTGCTCTGATCATCCTAGTAGCCTTGTCTGCACCTGTTCCGGTTAGAATTCATGTTTCTTAAACATGGGAGACCAGAATTGCACACAATATTCCAGATCAAGTCTCATCAGTGCCTTGTATAATGGCAACAAACCTTCCCTATCTCTACTGGAAATATCTCGCCTTATGCATCCTAGCATTGCATTAGCCTTTGTCAAGGCTGCATCACATTGGTGGCTCATAGTCATCCTGTGATCGACCAATACACAAGGTCTTTCTCCTCCTCTGTCACTTCCAACTGATACGTCCCCATCTTATAGCAGTAATTCTTGTTGTTAGTCCCTACATGCATGACATTGCACTTTGCACTATTAAATTTCATCCCATTTCTATTACTCTAGTTTTCAAGGTCATCCAAATCTTCTTGAATGATATTCTGATCCTCCTCCATATAGGCAGTACCTCACAACTTTGTATCATTTGCAAATTTTATTAGCACACTCCCGCTTTTTGTGCCAAGGCCATCAATGAAAATGTTAAAGTGTTTAGCAGTCCCACTTCTTCCATTGTTTTCTTTTTATTTATATATCTAAAGAACTTTTAACTATTGGTTTTAATTTCCTTTGCCAGGTCCAATTCTCTTGGCAATTCTCACTTTTCCCCTACACTTTCTGACCTCCAGGAGATAGCTATCCTTGCTGATCCTTTCCTTCTTCCTTGCCTTGTAGGCTTTCTATTAATAATCTGTTTGAGACACTTGTTCATCCAGTTGGGTCTGCAATTCTTCCCTACAAATGTTTCTCCTTGCTTGGGATGCAGGCTTCAAATAGTTTCTGGAACTTTGACTTAAATCATTCCAAGCCTCCTCCACATTCAGATCCTTGATTTCTTCAGGCCTGTCCACTTCCCTAACTAATTCCCTTAATTTTTTTAAGTTTGCTCTTTTGAAATCAAGGACCCTAGTTGCAGACCTATTTTTGTTTATCCTTCCATTTAGTTTAAATTGAATTAACTTATGATCACTCAAATTAAGGTTGTTCTCTATATCCAGTTCTTCTATGAGGTCATTGCTACTTACCAATACTAAATCTAAAATGGCATCACCTTTTGTTGGTTCAGTGACTATCTGGTGAAGAAATCTGTTTGGTATCACATCCAGGAATATCTGGGTCTTATGTTTATTAGTAGCACTTGTCCTCCAATCTATATCTGGGAAATTAAAGTCTCCCGTAATTGCATAATTCCCAGTAGTTTTTATTTCATTAAAAATATTAGAGGCCTCTCTTCATATCCAAATTGGATCCTGGGGGTTTGTAGCAGCCCCAAGCACTATTCCAGTCTGTTACCGTTTTTCCCATAGTGATTTTGACCTAAACAGATTTCATTTTATCCATTCCATTACTTCTAATTTCTTTACAATCTTCCTCATAATTAATATACAATGCTAATCCACCACCTCTACCTTTATTTTTGTCTTTTCTTAACAGCACATATCCTTCAATATCTGTATTCCAGTCATAACTACTTTCTACCATGTTTCCATTATCCCTATAATATCTGATTTCACTTACTGCACCAGTAGTTCTAGTTCCTCCATTTTGTTACCCAGACCCCTTGCATTGGTTTACAGACATCTTTCTTGTTTCTGCTTGGCTTCACCCAGATCCCTCACCCAATTAGGTACAGTCATTTTACTGTCAGTATTGCCTATTTGACTGTTATTGTCATTGGTATTGTCACTATCTTTCCTTCTGTCATCTATTCTCCTACCCTCTGTTGTTCCTTTCTCCATTGCTGTATTCCCTTTTACTTGATTTTCCTTCCTCTTAATATTAGAATCAGGTGTGGATATTACATGAGAATCTCCCAACTGTCTCAGCCGAATTCCTACTTTAAAGCTCTTTTAATCAGTTGTGTAAACATCCATCCTAGAAGTCTATTTCCCTTCCTGCTTAGGTGGACTCCATCCCATGAGAACAGTCCTCTGTCTGTTAATGCCTCCCAATAGTGGAATGTCCCAAAGCCCTCTTTATAGCACCATTATTTGAGCCATCTGTTGATCATCATAATCTGGTCTTGTCTTCACTCTCCTCCACTAGGGACAAGTAGAATCCCTCTGAAGATCACCTGAGCGTCCATTTCTTTCAGCACCTTCCCAAGCCTGGCATAGTTTTCCTTGTTGTGTCTGAGCAAGATCTAGCAGTATAATTTGTTCCCACATGAAAGACAGTCAATGGATTCTTTCCTGCTCCCATTAGGATCCTCTTCTACCTTAGGACCACATCCCATATCTAAGCTCCTGGCAGACAGCACACCCTTCTGTTCTCCAGATCAGCTCTGGTGACAGGCCTGTCTGTTGTTCTTTGTAGGGAGTCCCCAGTGATGTAGACTTGCCTCTTGTTGTTGGCATGATTGTCCGGCCTTCCCTCTTTTGTTCTTTTTGGCTGCAAGACTTCTTGCAATCTTCTGCGAGTTGTCCTCTATCCTCCTGGGTCTCTGAACTCTGGCTAGCTCCATTGTCTCTTCCCCTCTTCTTGTAGGACTAGTCACTCTTCTCTTCTTTCTTGCTCTCCCATTTTCTGTTACTGCCTGCCTCTCCCCTTCATTTTCCAACTCAGCAAACCTGTTCCTCAGCTCTATTTCTCCTTCACTAGCTGGTCTTGTCCTCTGCCTTATTCTCGTAGTCACATGCTTCCATTGTCCACTTTCTTTATCCAGCAGTCTATCCTCACAGTTCCCTGGTCCAGCATGCATCTGCAATTCATGATGTTTCCTTTCAGCCTCCTCTCTCTTTCTCTCCATCACCTGCTCAAATCTCTTTTGAAACTCAGCTATGGTTTCTAGCTGCAACTCCAAACCTCAGATCTTCTCTTCCATCAGCTCTATCAGGTGGCACTTCATACACACAAAGCACCTTTCCAATACCCTCTCCAGAATAATGTACATCCCCACAACTTCCATATCCAGTCATCTTCACTGTCTTTTCCATTCCTTGGGTCACTACCACTTCTGCCTCTATAGCTGCCATAGCCTTCCCTACTAAGCTACTGTGAAGAAGTAAAAAAGAATCCCAAAAACACACACCCCCAGCTAAATCCCCCATTCAGACTCCTTTGTTTTCAGGTGTTTGTTGGCTCCTGTGCTGTTTACTGGCCTGTGGGCTGCCTTTATAGGCCAGCTGAATTTTACCTTGCTGGTCTCTTCTACTGCCGGCTCTAACTCTTTCTCTTTTCCCCTTCCATAGGCTGATGAGAGTCTTGATTCTAAGATCTGTTTCTATGATATTGAAATGGACACAGTCACACTCTTTGATTTCAAGGCTGGACGAGGGGATGGTGGAGCCGTGCCCTCCTACTCTGGACAAGAACCTGAAAAGTAAGAAAACTTCATTTTGGAAAGTCTGGCTTGTGGCTTTAGGATAGGAATCTAAGGCCTGGACTACACTGGGGGGGGGGGGGTGTCGATGTAAGATACGCAACTTCAGCTACGGGAATACCGTAGCTGAAGTCGACATATCTTATTCCGACTTACCTCCCGTCCTCACGGCGCGGGATCGACGACCGCAGCTCCCCCGTCGACTCCGCTACCGCCGCTCGCTCCGTTGGAGTTCCGGAATCGACGGGGAGCGCGTCCAGGGATCGATATATCACGTCTTAACGAGACTCGATATATCGATTCCAGATAAATCGATCGCTACCCGCCGATACTGCGGGTAGTCTGGATGTACCCTAATTTACCAAAACAAGACATTCCTTGATGCTGGAAGAACTCTGCACAAACTAGCGAGTTGCTCTGCTTTAACTAAATTTATTTTTTTAACTGATTTTACTTAAATCGGGGCAAAAACTGTGTGTAGATAAATCTTGTTGGGGCTTGCTTTCTCTGCCTTTTAGTGGGACATTTTGTTGATAACTACATTTATCCCTGTTATTACATATGTAAATTTGAAATAGTAACAGAATTATGGCTGACTAGTGTCTAGAGACATCACATTTTATTTTCACAGAACGATTGGACCTCTAAATTCTTGCTGCCCAAGTTTACAGTGGTGGGGAGTGTTGTGAAGATTGCATGCTCAGACCTTAAAGAGATATTAGTGACTTGTGCCATACACATTGCGTTCTCAGAATAGTATGCCAAGTATGTGGGGACCCATCCACTTCCCCAAGCAGAGTCTAGAGTGTAGGAAGGGAATGGGAGGGCATCCTGGAGATCCTAACAAAGGAAAAGCATAACATCCAGATCCTCATCAAAATGTTTTCATTTCAGGGAAAAACTTGAATGAAATGCATGCATTTACATCTGTTTAAATTTAATGTTTTGGTTTTCAAACTACACCATCTAGCAATAAGTAATAGGTTAGAAATTTTGGTCAGAAGGCAGTGGCATGCAGTGAACCGAGAGTGAGGCTCAGAATATGGTGGAATGATATAGGTCCAGATTTCTATTTAGCCCTTCAGAAATGTACGTTGTGGTTCCTCGCTTGTGCCAAGCCACTTTTGAAATACAGGTTTCTGTCTTCAGCAATCGTTCCAGTAGGTATTACAGACAAGCATGCAATTATTGACATCAGCTCTGAAAAATGAGAGGTTCCTGGGAGTGCCCAGCTTATTCGTGAATGCACAGAAGGCAGAATTTGAGTCCCTTAGGTTTTAGTTAGTCATCCAGATAAATACAGCAACAGGGCAAATTTGAGGATGGTGGAAGCTTTAAACTGTAGCATTCTGTTCAGCCTGGCACAGGTGACTGTAAAACTGGAGGATTTGTGTCAGCTGGTATGCAAGTAGAGAAAACACATTGGCATCATCTGACATTTATGCTTTTGGTGTGTAGCATCCTGAAATGAGAGTGAGAGCATCAAACAATTAAAAAAGCAATAATAATAATTAATAAATAACCCACTCTGCTTCCCCCTTCCCCTCCTCCTGAAGGCAATAAAATCTCTTCCAGTGTCACTGTTGCAGATTTTTCAGATGCAGCCCAGTGTGGCAGGAGCCATTCAGATTTCAACCTTTTGCCAGGATTCTTTTGCAAGATGTAAGAATGATTAGTGCACTAAAAACTTAGCAACCCTCCACCCCCCAAATTCAAATGTTTCAAATGGGAAAATCTGATACATTGTGGCAGTAAAATCTAAAAACTCCCAATTTTTCACATAAACCATAATCTTGTTTTGTTTTTGAGCCTAGGGATTAATTAGGGTTACCATATTGCAGTCCTGGAAAAAGAGGACACTCCAAGGGGCCCTGGCCCCGCCCCAACTCCGCCCCTTCCCTGCCCCAACTCCGCCCCTTCCCCTGAACGCTCCGCCCCCTACTCTTCCCCCTCCCCTGCTTCCCGCGAATCAAATGTTCAGAGAACGCAGTGGTCTCTAGTAGTCAAAGACCCTTCTTCCCCGTCCCCTCCAGTCTATGTCTATCCTATTGCTGTCTAACCCGCCCCAGCTCCTCATCTGATTTCAACTGCCCCCCACTACCGCTCTGGATTCCTTGTCCCAGTTTCCTGGTCCTGTCTCACTCTCCTCTCTCCCCGCCCCCATCCCTCAGATGGGATGTTCGTTCCAGATTGGCAAAATTATAAGGCTTCCCAACATTTCAACACTTCCCATTCTAAATTTTCGGTTGCTTAACTATAGGCTAGTTCTGCCTACAACAAAGCATATTCAGAACCTCTGATTAAAGGGATTATAAGTGTAGCAACCTCCATCATAACTAGTCACCAAAGATTGAACCCGAGCCATCCAGACTTAAAAGCATGAGCTTCTACTACTTGAGTTCAAGCTATAACTCCCTTAGCTGGCAGCTATACAGTTATCCTCTAAAAATCCACCACAGGAGGGCACAAAACACATGTTGGACAGTGAATTACAAAAGTGCCAAATATTATTATTAGACCTGCAATACTTTTCACAATGAACATCAGCGGGGGATAAACTGGGAGTTTAAGAATATTTGGAAAACAATTTTAGAATAACATTCAGTGCTGATTTTATTTCAGCCCACATCTTAATAGTTTTGAATTCAAGATCACAATTTTCAGCTCAGTTGGTCTGAACATGCAGAGCTTTAAAATTGCTATACTCTAAACTGTATATTAACTACAATTTTATAAACCTGCATGTCAGAGAACTGTGTGCCACTACTACTAGACAGTGGCACAAGGCAATTCAGTGTGAATCACAAAAATGTAGGACTGGAAGGGACATCAACAGGTCATCTAGTCAAACCCCTGCACTGAGGCAGGACTGAGTAATAACAACTAGACCATCCTTGACAGGTGTTTGTCTAACCTCTTAAAAAACTCCAATGACTGCTATTCCATAACCTCTCTAGGTAATTTGTCCAGTGCTTAACTACCTTTACAGTTAGGAAGTTTTTCCTAATGTCTAACCTAACTCTCCCTTGCTACAATTTAAGCCCATTGCTTCTTTTTCATGCATGTCCTGAGTGGGACGGGGGTGGGTCCAGGCAGTGGGATTGGGGGGAGGGAGGTCGAGGGAGTCGGTGGGTGTGTGGGGATGGACCGGGGGAAGCAGGGTGGAGGAACTGAGGGGGACTGGGGGAGGCTGAGGGGGATGGGACAGGACTGGGATGGGGGGAGTAGGGTAGGGGCTGAGGGGAGCATGAATGGGACAGGGTAGAGAGAGCTGTGTAGAGTGGGGTGGGGCGGGGGAGACAATGGGGCTGCGCTGGGGAGGGTTGGGGAGAGGGACAGGGTCTGGAGGGGATGAGACAGAGGGGAGCAGTACTGGAATGGTGGGAAGTTGAGGGGGTGGGACAGCAGGGGGAGCGATGGGGGTGGGATGACGGGAGAGGCTGAAGAAGAGATTTGGGGTAGGGCAAGGCTGAGGGCAGTGGGTTGGGGGGAGCAGGGGGACTGTGGGGGAGGCTGTTGGAACGGGGGCAGGGACTGAGGGCAGTGGGTTCGGGGTGGGAGGTACAGGGGGGCCTGTGGGGGAGGCTGAGGGAACAGGGTCAGGGTGGGGCCTGAGGGCAGTGGGTCTGAGGGGAGCCCCCACCAGAGGGACCTGCCAGGGGGCCAGGTGAGCCCAGCAGCGCTTACCTGGAGCGGCTCCCAGGAAGCATCCAGCAGGCAGGTCCCTCCCAGTCCCTCTGGCCCCTTCCTAGGGTTGGGTCAGGTGGAGGGGAGGGGGGAGCTCTCTGCCCGGCGACCGCTGCCTGCTGCCGGAGTCTACAGGCCCCGCCCCGCTGCAGCACGCAGGGGAGTGAGACCTCCCTGCCTCTCTGTGTGCCGGGGCAGGGGGAGGGCTGCGCTCTGCAGGCTCCTGCCGGCCAGGCGGGGGGCCCCGTGGGCTGGCGCCGCCGTGCCGGGAGCTCTCAGCTGCGCGCTGCCCCAGGGCCCAGGGAGGAAAGGTGAGTGGCGCCGGCGGCGCCGGCTTGCTGCGGTTCCCCCAGCGCGGCTGCCCTGTCCTCGCTTTTGGGTCTTTAAATAGCCGTCCGGGGGGAAATCCTGGACATTTTTAGCTTTTTACAAATTCCCCCCGGACGGCTATTTAAAGACCCAAAAGCCGGACATGTCCGGGGAAACCCGGACATATGGTAACCCTAGATTAATTGTCATGAGTTAGATTGTGGAGAGAGGTGTTAAGGTGTCTTTCTGCTTTGTTTTAAATCCTTCCCTTCCCCCTCTCATTCTGGGGGCACTGGTAAAGGAGAAAAATAATTACTGCTGAGGCCTCTGTTTTCTCTCTCCCTTTACACTGATACTTAGCATTTAAGGTCATGCTTTGTTTTCAAAGCACTATGCAAACATTAATTAACCCTCACAGGTATTGTGAATCTACCTAGGATTTTATATGGCCCTGATCTTGGTGCTATGTAAATGCCTGAGGTATGCAAGTAAGTGTTAGCTCCCATTTTGCAGATGGTGGAAGTGAAGCATAGAAAGTGATTGACTTTCCCAAGGCTGCACAAAACGTCATTGGCAAAGCCATGATAAAAATGCGGGAGTTCCTGGCTTACTGCTCTGTGCTCAGTCCACTAGACCACAACACCTCGCTGTTTTTTTTAAAATGCTGAGTTTAGTACTTGTGAAAAGTGCTAATTTTGACACACCTAGAGAAGTCTCCTATTTGCAGCCTGAGTACTGAGTAAGCAGCTGCAGCAGTGCTGGCTCCCTCATTGTGTCTCAACTTCGACATAAAGGAACCACCTCTCTGGATCAGAGGGCAGATCTGACTTCATGGCATGTTCATTCCTTGATCTCTTGGCTCAGATCCCCAATGATGGTACATATTTTGTTTAGTTTTGTGCAAGAGATATGGTCTCTTTTCCATCAAGAACAGCAACTCATTTTGCATAGGCCACCAAACAGCCATCAGATGAGACCTCTTGATTGCTACTGAGCTGGATTTG